ACCTCACACTCCCTAGCCCCCCCCCCCCTCCCCCCCCCCCCCCCCCCCCCCCCCCCCCCCCCCCCCCCCCCCCCCCCCCCCCGTTTTCTGCACGCCTCTGCAATCAAGTCAGTCCTAAGGTTTTTTTACCAGGGACCTCAAATTCGGTGACTCATGGGGGATAGAACAAAAGACCATCATGGTTCTGTCCCCCCTATGAGTCATGAAATTTGAGAGCTTCGATTTTTAGCTATATCAAAAAGTTTGAAATTTCCCAACTCGTTATTAGTTTGCATCATTCAATGACAAACTAATTAACATGTCTTTCACTTACTGAATCATGCGAATAGAAAGTATAAATAGGAACAGGAATACTAAACAAACTCAAACAGTTTGCTAAGAGAATACGGCTCCCTCTATATTGTTCGTCACTTTCCGGTAGGAAGTGAGTCAAGTCTCTTTGCTTATTCACCTCGCTAACTATTCGATAAAGACGAAAATAAATTTATTTCTATTCTTCACGTATTGAAAAACGGTCTTTCTCATTTGTCTTCTGATTGATTCACAATTCATCAAATACAATTCAGTTGAACGTTAGAAATTTGAGAGCATCCATGAAGGGCAAATCTTGGGCGCATCTCTTTTTTTCTTGTTCTCCACATTCTTATAGTATAGGCAGAAGGTATGCAATCACCATAAAATTAACAAGGTTAAGCTACGAAGGAAACTACAGGCCTAATTTTTAAGCACAGCGTAGTTTATCGAGTCATTAAATATTTTCTCTTTTGTGTTTATTGCTTCTCTTAATAGTTAGCGACAAATAGCTGCTCACTGGTTGTTTTTTTGATAACTACCTTTCGAACTGACTAAAACGTTTTGCTTAGAAACAGTCAGTGCAACAAAAAAAAAAAATTTCTTCTTTTCGACTGGGTTGACGCAATTTCAAAAAATAATATAGCCATAAAGGCAAAGATCTGCTGTGAATAGTTGAGAAACAAACGAGAATTTAATATCTAATCTGTTCTTGTTTTCACAATCAGTTATAGAACCATGCTTTTCTCCTTTTCTTTTTGTATGATGTTGCCGTCATTCATGGTCAAAACAATCTACTATTCTGGCATTAAGTTTTAACTCTATTACTAACGGAATTTTTCTTTTGTATCATAAAATAAGGAGAAAAAGAAACACAAATGTATCATGATTGAAACAGACAACGCAAAAGAGTGAAAATCACCACTCATTTTATTATTTTATACGCATGTAGTAAAATTTCAGATAGAGTAAGATGGTATTAAGAACATTGTAAAGGTTAGTAATTTATAGAGAAAAAGAAATTCATTCTTCTGAGAAAAATACGTAATAGTGTGACATTTGAGAGGCAATACTGTGCCATAAAAATTTCAAAATAACGAGCGCTATTTTTTTCAAATAAAATACGAACGAAATGATATTTATTGCACGTTTTATGAATAGAATTATTTTCTTCGAAGTAAAAAAAATTTTTTTCCTTCAACAATGTCGTCACATCACAAACAAATGCTTAATCAAATAAATAAGAAACAAAAATAACAAAACAGAACATTAAAAAAAAATCATTCATTCATTCATTCATTCATTTATCTACTGCTATTTGTTCATTCAACTAAAATAAGAAGAAAGAGAACGGCAACCAATTGACGTATATGTGAAAGTGATAGTTTGGTAATATACGCGTAGTCAAGAACATATTTGAGGATAATATATTAGTTGACTTTTATTTTAGATAGAGGTTTTAAAAAAAGCAAAAAAAATCCAATTTTAAACTTTAAATTTAACGTTCTTCATTATTCTGTTGTGCGTAATCTACAACGGATCATTAATCATTTTGTTTATCATCAAGAAGATTTGATATCGAGTGTGTGTGGGTTTTTTTCCCCTTCGTTCTTTATTTTTATTTTTCATTTGATCTATATTCCGTATAACCAGTCATCAACCACCACCGCAACAACAGTGACGACAAATAACAAAACATCTCTTGGATTCTAATGGATAAAATTTTTTATACTCTATGCAAAAATAATAAAAATTTCAAAGCAGAACAACAATTGTTTTTTGTTTATATAACTACTGATAATTTATTTTATTATTTTGATTATTCTGATTTTGAACTATTTTATAAACAACAACAATATCAACAAAAATCACCTATTTCCTACAATTCAACAGAATCTAATCAATATCAACAACAAATATTTCGAACATTTAAATTATCTAAAACAATCATCTGTCTATTCTTTTTTCTATTATTATTATTTTCTGATCATAAAGATAATAAAGACAACGTTAATTAATTAATATTAACTTGTGTATGTGTGTGTGCGTGTGTCTGTAAATAAATAAACATTTACGTCTTCATAAATTATATTTTTTTAAATTAGAACTTAGATATATATATATATATACTCAATTTGTCAAAACTTGTGCGCTAGAGGTAAGACGTTCTGCTTAAGTTTTATCTCGTAAAATATACAAATTATTAGAGTTGAATGAAACTATTGAACACTATTGAGTACTAATTCTATTTTCATTCCTCTAATGAATATTGAAATAATCAATTATATTATCGTTTTGTTTCTTCTATTTAGAATCCCCAATTATTATAACAAACAAATTTTGCTCGTTTTACATCAAAACTTTATTTTATTTATTCTCTTTTATTTTTTGTTGTTGTTTTTGTTTCACCTAAGTAGAAACAATTTCGTCAGATTATTAACTAATTTTTTCTTGCTTCTTAATTACTTAACAAAATATTATCATCTAATTGAGCAGTGACAACCAACGATGAGTTCTACATCAGAAACATTATCAATAAATAAAAACGTTAAACGAACCGACATTTCTATTCAGAACCAAATACCAAAATCCCGTTGTATTGGTTCCATGTCGATTGAAAAACCTTCAAGTTTTAACGATATATCTCGTCATCAACAAACGTCGTTTAATAGAAAAATAGCTACAATGAACGGTTTAAATCGAAAAAATTCTCAAAATAATAGTGATTATACTTCATCGACACGTCGTTCATTATCACCAAAATTTAATACAAATATTCAACGTTCACAAACACACTATCATTATGGTGCACCAGTATCCTATACAAAAACACTAGAAAAATTAACAAAAACAAATCATGTAGACCCAAATCTCACAACACCAACGACACAATCACGTCCATTAACTTCAAACGGTCTTCATTGTGATGTAAAGAAATCAAATAGTACTGATAGTGAGCTATTGATTTTTACTGCTATTACTCCGTCACCAGCAGCAACGCCGTCCGACGATAGTGATGAGTCGAAAAAAAGTGTTATTGTTTCAAACGAAGTTGAAGTAATTCTTGATTTCACTTTAATATGTCTTTAATTAAAATTATTCTTATCTTGTTGTTTTCTAGTCCCAAATCAGTATCAGTACGCCTAATGGCAACCATTCGTATAAAGATAGTGAGAGCGAAGACGAACCAGCAGCACCATTGAACGTTAGTGCTTCATCGAGTAACGACGAAGAGGAAGCGGATGAACAGGAAGATGATACACCAGCTAAAGTTCGGCGATTTCAAAAAACTCGTAAAACAAGTTTTAATGGTACAAATAGTAGTAATAATCTTGATAGAACTCCAGCATCGTCTACATTACGCCTTGGTCGCAAAAGTGCAAGATCTAAAACAATGAAAGGAAGTGATAATGAAATTACAAACAATATAACAGCAGATGAACGTCAACAATCATCGTCAAATGAAGAGGAAAATGATAATAATATTATACGCAATAGTATTGGAAATACAAATGAGAATGATATTTTATTAAAAAGAAAATATTCAAACAAGAAAAGTTTGCAACCGACAACAACAACGACGACGACAACAGACGACGATTACGGCTGTCGACATTATCATCATCATCATCATCACTATCATCCGCTAAATGAAAAAATGAGTCCATCAAATACTCTAACAAAACAGTTTAACAATAACAGTAGTCATTCAGATGAAACATCTACATCAAAGATAGAACCAGATACATCTATCAATTGTCCGATACAAGCTATAAATAAACAGAATAATTTAGCTAGTAACACTAAAAAACCAAAACGTTTTGAAATAAAATCGATTCGAAAATCACAACAACATTTAATATTAGCTAAGGCAGCAAAATCATCAAACGAAGAAGATAGTAGTGCACCAGCACCAGTGAATCGTAGACATATGAATACGCCTACGACAGATTGTGATAATGTTACAGATACAAATAGTCCTATAGCATCAGAAATTGTTTGTGCAGCAGCTACGGTACTAAATAATTCCGAATTAGTACCACCTGTCGTTACATCACAACCAATCAATAATCACGAGTCGGCTGAAGATGAACGTCATTTAGATGATGAAGATGAACAACCAGTGGCAAAAAGTCCAGATAATCGTTTTGTTAAATTTGCAAAAGAAATTGGTCGTGGTGCGTTTAAAACGGTTTATCGTGGTTTAGATACTGAAGCAGGAATACCTGTTGCGTGGTGTGAATTACAGGTAAAATTCTACCGTCTCGCACTGTATTTTATAGAGTGGGTGTTTGGGCTTTTAAGGATTTTGCTCAATTTGATAAACATGAACGTGCTCGGTTCAAAGATGAAGCTGAAATGTTAAAAAAGTTACAACATCCGAATATTGTACGTTTTTTTGATTTTTGGGAAGAAACAAATTCACGAACAAACAAAAAAGTTATTATACTTGTCACAGAATTAATGACGTCTGGCTCCTTGAAAAGGTAAAGCGATTTTTATTGATATTTTTTGTTTGTTGTTATTTAAAACTTCCTTATTTTTGTTTGTTGTTATTTGAAACTGTTCCTTATTTTTGTTATTTGTTTGTTAATAGCTACATCAAAAAATTTAAAGGTCAACAAGAACAAAAACGTATTAATGTGATGAAAAAATGGTGTCGACAAATTCTGAAAGGTTTAGCTTATTTACATAGTCGTAATCCATCTGTGATTCATCGTGATTTAAAATGTGATAATGTGTTTATAACAGGCAATACTGGTTCAGTGAAAATTGGTGATCTTGGCTTGGCAACATTTAAAACTCAAACATTTGCTAAAAGCATGAGAGGTAATTTTTATGCATGTATTTCAATCTTCTCTTTAGTATAATGCGTTTGTTTTAGGGACAATGGAATTTATGGCACCAGAGATGTTTGATGAAAACTATGATGAACTAGTTGATATCTATTCGTTTGGTTTATGTATGCTGGAAATGATAACAGGCGAATATCCGTATATTGAATGTAAATTTCCCACAGCTGTTATTAAACGTGTCACGGCTGGATTGAGACCGGATTGTTACTATAAAGTTGAAAACGAAGATGTTCGAGAAGTAATCGATTGTTGTATCAGAAAATGTAAAGAAGAACGACTGCCGGTTAATGAATTATTACAGCATAGTTTCTTCATGGATGAAAACGGTTTACGTATCGATTTTGTTCGAGAAGATTCAAATATAATTGTTAAAAACGACACTATCGATTTGAAATTAAAAATAATTGATAAGAACAAACGTAAAGCATTGTGGACCGAACATGAAGCTCTTAGATTTCATTTTAATTTAAAAACGGATACAGCTGAACAAATAGCAACTGAATTAATGGCTAAAAAATATATATTTGAAGAAGACAAAAAATTTGTCATACAGTCGATTAAAGATCGACTAAGAGCGTATCATTATGAACAATTGGATCATCAACGTGGTATATTTACTAAAGAAACAGAAAAAGGGACGGTGAATGTTCTTCAGACGAATCAAACACCAGTCGCACCCAATGTTCAACCCTCACCACCTGTTCTTCAGGTGGAAGAAAAAACTCAACAAACGGCACCACCCACAGGCTCTTCGGCAGTTTCAAGTCTTGTTTGTACAAATGGACAATCAGTTGAACAACAACAGCTTGCTCAACAACATCAGCTTTTCCAGTATATGATATATCATGATAGCATGCATCGTCATGCTTTACATGCAAATGATCCTCAACAGCAATCCGCCTCTATTCTGCCACCTATAGGACGACCACCAAGTTTAATCGAATTAGAAAATGAGACGAATATACGTAATGAGACGAATATACGTAATGCCGGTATGTTTTATACTGAAACTCTAACTTTTTGTGGTTAAATTTACATTTTTTTTGTCTTACAGCAATACAAGCGGCCAATCAGCATCATCACAATTGTCATCCGCATCATCCCAGTCATAATAAAAACCCATTAATCCAACATAAACAGCCACCTTCTCATGCCGGTATTACAACTGTACCAATGCCACTGCATACGAATGCTGCTCAAGTAATCACAACGACAGCCATGTCATTACCTGACACCGCACCAACAATGGTCGCCTCGTCAATTACGAACCAGCCGACTGCATCTACGACTACAGTGAATTCAACTATTGAACCACCTTTGATTAGCACGTCCCAACCAGTATCAACTCCAAACGTTGTACTTCCGTCTACGTCCGATGTTATTCCACCACCACAATCGAGCACAGCCCCTAGTACTCAAACACAACATCAAGTGGCTGCAAGTCTAGAAGAATTAGAGGCATTGTTAGCAAAAACATTTTCGAAAAAAAGTGCTGCATTAGGCAGTGATGGTGAACAGACACAACAACCACTAAATCAGTCAGTATCATCCACTTCAACTGGCATTCAACAAAACAATGATGAGACAAATACAAAAACTTTAGAACAATCAGAACACCAGCAAAATGTTGCGAATGATCAGAAGGTGGATACACTCATACCAACCGTAAAACAAGATAATAATGAACAAAATAATATTATATCGAAACACGTTCTAAATTCGATTGAAGCTCCTCAACAACAGCAACAATCTTCAACTGTTATATCTATTCAAAAAAATTTAAGTGAACCAGTGTTTTCGCAATCTGAAACAACCTCAGGTGAGCGATGCACTTTAATTAAAGAATACTACCGCAAAAAATATGCAGCTATGAGAGACATGTTTGAGATAGGTAACGGGTAGAACTTTTGTCTACAGCTATGCCTTCACAAACTCTATTAGACCTTTTTCTAATTTACTTGCGATGAAATAAGAAGATCTTTTAGTAATATGAGGATCGACTATTCCTCGACCTATATATCTTTTATTTACAGTGTAAGAGAAAATGAAAACATTTTTATAGTTGTATGTAACTCAATGATCTATCTGACTTACTTTTAATTTTTTTATTTTAAAGCAGCTCAATCTACGAGCGTTAGTCATCATAAAAGTCAGTTGATTGAACAGAAACAACCACTTGTTCCACTGTCGTTACATACCAATTCTGCTCAAGCACTTAACACGATAGCCATGTCATCACCCGTTAGCGCAGTACCAACAGTAACATTGACGCATACAAGTCAACCATCTACGACTACATCGACAATAATAAATTCTTCGAACGGTGACGCGCCTGTTTTGTGTACGCCTTTACCAGCACAATTATCGAATGTCCAGCTACCAGTGGCAACTGATGGTCAATCATCATCGTGTACAGCGTCTAACACAGCACAGCATCAAGTCGCCGCTAGCCTCGAAGAATTGGGAGCCTTATTAACAAAGACGTTTTCAAAGAAAGCTGCTGCACAAGGAAGTGATAGTGAACAAACACAACAGCAAACTCAATCTCTACCATCTGTTCAACAAAACAATGATGAAGCAAGTTTAAAATCTTTAGAACAATTGGATCAGCAGCAAACTTCAGTCAATCATCAAAAGAGTGATACATTGAGGAAACAAAACGATAGTGAACAAAATATTTGCACGATAATACCAAAACTGGTTGGACGTTTCACAGTAGAAAAAGAACAGCTGAATAACATTCAAATGAATATCAATAAAACAGATATAGTACCAAAACATATCGAAGGTGAAAGACACACAAATGAAGGTAATGGAGATGTAAAACCAATAGTGGTAAACGATTTAATTACGGCTGAAAAAACAGCAACAATGCAGATAGGAAAACAACAAGAACATCAGTATCAGGTAAAATTCTAACATGTTTGAACATGTTGGATATTTGAAACTATTTTGAAATGTTCTCTAGCTGGATCGACAAAAGTCGATCATAAATAATAATCAGTTTAATCAACTGGCCCTATTGAGCAAACCGGTATGAAAACAGATACATTATTCAATAACTGCAAATCACCTATTGCTTATTTACTTATAGAATTTGTGTGAGATGGCTTTTGCTGCGGATGCCCTTTCAGTGAATGATGAAGCGTTCGAACAAATGTTGGCAAGGTTTGTCGAACTGAAAAAAAAAGATAATTAAACTGGTTCTTAACTGTTCTTTTTCTCTGAACTATAGACATCGTTTGGAATTATTAGATTTAGTTAGTAGACAAAGTCAAGAATTACGAACATATATGGTACAAAAAACCATTCATGCAAATACAATTGTAAGTTTTGGAAAGTATAACCGCATGTTTTTTTTATTAAAGAGCATTTTATATTTATGAAAACAAATATATATCTGTTAGATTTTCCATCTTGAATTTTATTTATGTGTGTGTGTGTGTGTGTCTTGTTGTAGAAAATTATTGAGAATGGAGAAACTATTGGAACAATGAGGATGGTAGGAAATCCATTTATCACCATGGTTTGATTGGTTTTTTCTTTTTGTGGTCATTTTTTGTCCTTAACGTAAATATAATATTTTGTTCAATGCACACATATTAGAAACCCGGAGAGATTGAGTGTTTCGGTCCATAGAAGTTGACATGAGTCGCTAAAAAGTTTTAGTCTTAAAACATTGTTGCTGTAGAAAATAACAGCAAACTTTGTCGATGAAAAAGTTTAGTATGGCACACATCTATTAGAATTCTCTGCGCATGTACTGTTTCAAATTCATCTCTACAAGAGGAATGCTTTCATTGTAATAACTCGGAATTGAGTATGTGCACGTTTGATAGTTTCCCTTAGTTAATTAATCATCTACCAATCTTTGTTTAATACCGCGTAATGTATCCAAATGACAGTTTCAGCATTTGAAAATTCTAATATAAATAGTTTATGATTAAAACGTCAGTTCAACATACTGTTAAGACGGATAGATGGCATAAGTGATAAAATGGAGCTGTTGATACGGTACACTTTTCTCAGCTTCAGTACAAATTGCAAAGGTCGGATTAATTAGACTACAAAAATCTGGATATTTCAACCTCGAAAGCGATTATTTAAATTCAAAAAGTCAAAGATTTCTATGGAATACAAGCTAAATTTCAGAAATCCTCCATATCAGTCTCTGGTAGTAGATTTCAAACAAAACGCTTATAAGAATGTACCGAACTATTGCAGAGAAAAATGTAACGTATCGAATGAGAGTGAGAGTAGTGCTATTATCGATAACAACAAAATCTTTATGCCTCACCGATACATTCATCGGGTGATAATAGAAAAATATACAGATTCTAAAAGTAGACGCTTACGATTGGTCGTTAATGAATTGCATCAAACTTTCGAGTTTCAATAAAAAAGATTTGTTTGAAGAAGATATTCTTAAACAAAACTTGCTTTGCATTTACGCACACATGTTGTTGCTCTCTGTTTTTTGCACATAGAAACAAGCACAGTCATGTACACTCACCCTATTGTTGACGTAGTTTTGTCCAGCTTTTTCTCATCTGTTGAGAAAAACGCTTTTTATCTTCTGTAAAATTTTTGTTTCTTGTAGAAATCAATTTAAACAAGTCGAGAGAGCCAGATATGCTGGTATAGTAGTTGAATCGTAAAAGCATTGGGGTTTACTGCTAAGTAGTACCAATCCACAAAGGAGTCATATGATTTTGCGAGATTTTTCAAGATGTTTTAGCTTTTTTATCCATTGAACGCTCATAGGTTGGAATATGATTAATGTTTATATTTTTGGTGCCAGGTTTCTGATAAAACTGAAAACTGCATTTTGCGCTTTTGAGCACAAATTTTTAATATAATTTTAGGAATCAGTAATTGATTTTTTTTTTGTCTATTATGGAAAGGACTACAAGTTGCAAATCGTTGTTTCGATGAAACTAGATAGATTATATGTAATTAATGATGCTGATTCCGAATATGAACATCGGAACTGCCATTAGACTTTTGTTGATCAGTTTTCTGGAAACTTGATCTTCAGAAAACCAGGGACCAAATCCAGAAAGTCTTTCTGAATCGGCTGTTTTGTAGAGGACACAAAACTGTCTATGTTCCATAAATTTTAGTTTTTGAAAACAAAAATCAACAGCGTAGGAAAATTTCTCAAAAGAGTGGCTACGCTGGTTTTTATGAAAAAATGTTGTAGTAAGAAACTTTGTAAACATCACAGTACCGTTCAATTGTATTTTGAAAAACTAAAATTTATGAAACAGACAGTTTTGTGTTTTCTATAAAACAGCCGATTCAGAAAAAATTTCTGGATTTGAACCTTGGGTTTATGAAGATCCAGTTTTCAGAAAACTGATTAACAAAAGCCTAAGGGTAGCTTCGACGTTCATATTTGGAATCAGCGTCATCAATTACATATAATCTACCTAGTTTCATCGAAAAAACGATTTGCAACTTGCAGCCCTTCCCTCATCGGAAATGTCAGTTTAAATTTGCCTTGGTATTTTCAAGTTCTTCTGATCGTACCTGCGTGATAAAATTCTCGTAGAAAGTGTAAACCAAGAATGGCATAGACTAAATAGCATCACATATTTCTTCCTAAGTAATGTGCACGCATGTTCATTCATTTCAATTTGGTGTCAATTTTCTTATCATGATGACAATCAATTTATACATAATATACCATCATAATAATTCATTTCTTATTCTTTATTTTTAGGATCGTCAGTTTGAACCATCAATAAATGCATTTAATGCTTCACGTCGGGCATCGTTATCAACAACATCACCATGTGCTGATCGTGCTTTATTAGCCGATTTTGCCAAACGCCATCGTAATCTATCCACAAGTTCTCAAGCATTATCTTCGTCTCAAAATCTTATTTCACATGGTCTTACTCATATTTTACCTGAAGAAACGTGTAATGATGATTGTACTGATATGACCACTCCCACAGGATCAGCTCCAACATCATCATCAACAATCGTTGTACCCAGCAATATTTCAGCAAATGACACCTTAAATTCCACATCCTCTTCTATCGCATCGTCAGTACCACAGAACTTCAGCGGCAATGATCAAAATGAAATATCATCTAAAAGGATATGCTCGTCACATATAAATAATAGGACCGTCAATTCTTTGACACTAGATCAACAGAAAGTCGAACTAACTTCACCATGTTCATTGACGGATATAAATATTGATGGAAATCAACAACAAATGATTAATGAAAACAGGACGTAGCATTTTTATTTATTTTTTGTTGTTTTTACTGATGAAAAAAGAGAGATAATGATAGTAGAGGTGGGCTGAATGTGTTGGTGCTATAAAGTTGAAACGAGTTGTGATGCGCAATCAAACATGTTTTCATGCATTTCTTTGAAAAAAAATTATTTTCCTTCTCTCCCTTTTAAATATTACACCGTTCTTCGTATGCTTCAAATGAAAGGAAAAGGACTCCTGTAACATCAGAAAAAGTCCTGTTTTTCCTTCTTCTATAATGTAGAATTACGAACAAACTCAATTATTAGTGGGTACAACAAAAATATAGCTTTTTTTGCCATTTTTCTGCTATAAAATTTTATCCAGTTTTTTTTCTCATCTAAGAAAAAGATCTAAATAATCGTCGTTCATTTCGTTTTTTATTGTTATTCTGCTTTGTTGGTTATTGTTAATATAGTTTCTTAATTTTTTTTCCTTCTTTTTTGTTTACTATACTACTATCACTGTTTCTATTATAACCTTTGCGTGTGTTTGTATTTCTATTTGACAAGGGTTGTGATGTGTAAATATATTGGACAAGATACACATAAAAAATCAAGAATTCCACATTTTTATGTATTACTTTTGCATAAAGTTTGATACTATTAATTAGGCATCTAGCGATTACATCAGATATCAGGAGTGCTGATTATAGTATTCTGAGAGTGTTTGTATAGCATCAAACATTATATTATATTAATGATAAATGCGGCAATTATACGATGTTGTGTAAATCATCTTAAAAAGAGAAGATAATTGTAGGTGGACTATGTTATCGAACATATTATTTATTTAGTGTTTTGAAAGTTAATATTATATCATCATTTTAGCGAAAAAGTATTTATTGAACTTCCGTGAAGTAGTAAAAGAAGATGCAAATAATACTTCGCATGATTTGTGAAATAAGAATACCGTCTATTGAAAATTTTCTGTGATCCATTGTTATTTTATATCGCTAGTAGAAAGTCGTCATCTAATGTATCGAAATCCAGAGGTCCTCAGTAAGCGGCAGTAGTTCGCATCCTCTATTTTTTTAAATGTAGTAATGATTTATACAATGCGTATTCGTTGATATAGTTACTGGAGAAAGAAAATACAAATGACGACTATTAATTCTAGAAAAAAGATGTAAGACTAGGGTGTATACCTTTGTTGCATTTATTTGATGGCATGCTTTAGGTTATAACTAGTAATGATATCCATTATGAGAGTTTTTTGTTTTTACATATTCTGCACGGGACTTGTTACAAAAACTCCGAAGAAGCGTTTATTATAAAAACTTCTATAAAATTACAAAAATTTTTTATGTAAAACTTTAACTACAGAGATAACTACTTTTCTTGGAATTAGACTTGAAAGGAAAGATTATATGCTAGAATGAATAGTTTTATTTATTTCAGATTTTCTATTCTAAATATTATTAAATATTAATTAAAATGAAAATTGAAGAAGTTAAAAGTACAACAAAATCTCAGCGAATATCAGCTCATAGTCATGTGAAAGCACTCGGCTTGGATAATGAACAACGAGCAATACGTATTGCAGGTGGCCTTGTTGGACAAGAGCAAGCCAGAGAGGTTTATTATCAGTTTCATTAGAAGAGATTAACTGTATCTCTGAATTTTTCGTTTATAGGCGGCAGGTATTATTGTTGAAATGATAAGACGAAAGAAAATGGCGGGTCGAGCCGTATTACTTGCTGGACCACCGGGAACAGGAAAAAGTAAGAGTTTTTTTGAATTTTATTAGTAAATAGGTTTAGACTTTTCTTCTTTGTAGCGGCATTGGCACTGGCTGTTGCACAGGAATTAGGAACTCGTGTCCCATTTTGTCCGATGGTTGGCAGCGAAGTTTATTCAACTGAAATAAAGAAAACAGAAGTATTAATGGAAAACTTTCGTCGTGCTATTGGTTTACGTATTAAAGAGACGAAAGAAGTTTATGAAGGAGAAGTAACGGAAATGACACCTTTGGAAACAGAAAGTAGTTATGGAGGTTAGTTAAAAAAATATCGAATTTTATTTTCAAGATTCAAATTAGTATCTGATTCTTTTTCGAAGGTTATGGAAAAACAATTAGTCATGTGGTGATTGGCTTACGAACGGTGAAAGGAGCTAAACAATTAAAATTAGATCCATCCATATATGAAACATTACAAAAAGAAAAGGTTGAAGTGGGTGATGTTATTTATATTGAGTCAAACACGGGTGCAGTTAAAGTAAGTATATATGGATATTCTTAAGAGTGAAAGGTTTACTGTTTAATAGCACTGAATGTATAATTCTTATCTTTTAAGTCAATCGATATATTCCATCATTTGTTTGTGTATTTCTTAATCATTTTAGCGACAAGGTCGTTGTGATTCCTATGCAACAGAGTATGATCTTGAAACAGAAGAATATGTTCCCTTACCAAAAGGAGATGTTCATAAGAAGAAAGAAGTTGTGCAAGATGTTACACTGCACGATTTAGATGTTGCCAATGCGAGACCACAAGGCGGCCAAGATATATTATCAATAATGGGTTCATTAATTAAACCCAAAAAAACAGAAATAACAGGTATTTCTTTTTGTTTGCTGTTATAAATAGTAAACATTTTATACGATGTTTTTCTCTATATAGATAAGCTTAGAAAAGAGATAAATAAAGTTGTGAATAAATATATTGATCAAGGTATTGCTGAATTAGTACCAGGTGTTTTATTTATTGATGAAGTTCATATGCTTGATATTGAATGTTTCACATATTTACATCGTGCACTTGAAAGTCCTCTAGCACCTATTGTAATATTTGCTACAAATCGTGGAAAATGTCTCGTTAGGTACGAGTTTTGTTAGATGAGAATTTGTTAAATCACTTGTTGTGATATCTTATGTTTATAAATGAATTTTTTGTAGAGGAACAGAAATACTTTCTCCACATGGAATGCCGTTAGATTTATTAGATCGTATTATGATTATTCGTACATTGCCCTACGGAATAGAAGATATGATTGAGGTAAGTTTAATTTATTTGGCTATTATGTCTGACAAACGAATCTCATTTGTGTTTTTCAGATTTTACGAATAAGAGCAAAAGTTGAACACATTGATATTAGTGATGAATCATTACAAATATTATCTGAAATAGGAAATAAATCAACATTGAGGTTTCACTACACTGCTAGACTTTTCTTTTCTATTTCTTATTTTGGTTTGTGTTTTAGATATGCTGTACAATTAATGACTCCTGCCAATATTCTTGCTCGAATTAATGGGAAAGAACAAATAGAACGCGAAGAAATTGAAGAAGTACACGATTTATTTTTGGATGCAAAATCATCAGCACAATTATTGAAACAGGAAGACGCTAAATATTTGAAATAGTGAAACGTTTTCTTTTTTGATTTTTTTTTCTCTAGGTAAATCTGCCTTGTTCGTGTCTTTTTTGTATTACTGGTTTTCTGTGTAACATCCTCACGTTTTGTGTATAACATAAAACTATCTCTCTTGTTAAATCATCGTTGAAGATACTTATCAGTATCGTTGTGTAAGCAATATGCAGTCAGATTCAATTTTCTACCTTTTTAGCAAGATATTTGTCAGTAAAAATACAACCACTAGCATTTAAGACACTTGCTGTCTTATAACTTGATTTGCCTTCTAAATTAGGTAAAAAAGAATTAAATATTTTCTTTAAAAGCTAGAGAAGTAACGAATTTTTGTAGAGTGACTCTGCTGGTACTGTTTATTACGAAATTCTACAGAATGATACGATCAACTTTGACAATGTATTTAATGTTTTCATATTACACAGGACGAGGTATACAGTACAATCAGTACTTTATATATTACAGACTTCTAAAATAGTTGACCAATATTTATTAATATAAATATGCAAAGCAAGTTCTTGTGTAAAAAATTCAGTAGGTTAGTGTGCACATTTTTTATTTTAGCTTATTTACTGTTCTTTATTTAGCTGAAATAGAAAATAAATCAGCATTTTCTTTTAAATCATAAATATTATGATGAACAGAAGAATAAATCGGTTTTTATATTCTAAAATACAAATAGACTGAATTTAAACATAGATCAAGGTTTTCTCTCACAACAGTGGGAGATTCAATTAATTTGTCATGCGAAAGTTAATGTCTACAAAGCTCGATGAAAGTTTCACCATCCGGTCACCAGACCTTGACAAACATAAATGCTATCTTTTCTTTAGGTAACTTTTTCTCACTTTAGTAAAAGGTGATAATTAGGTGCAGTATAGAAAAAGACACCTCTATAGTTAGTTAATTAAGTGGATATATCCAAAACATTTTGAGTCGGAGAGTCAGTCTTAATTTATCAACTTTCAACTAAAATGATGAGTAACAAGACTATGGGTGGCGTTTTACCGTTGCTTTACAGGTAACGCAATAAGGCATGCGTTGCGTTATTGCGTTTAAGTGACTTCGAGTAGCGCAGTAACGCTTATGATACAAGTCAAGCTAATAAATAGTTATATTTTTTTTGCTGATATAACTATTGTTGGCACGATTAAGTTTCTGATTCCAGTTAAGCTTACTTCGATAAATACAGCGAGTAAAATTGCCTTTATGTACGGTTTTTGTTTGTGTTAATATTCTTACCCCTTTAGTTCCATGCGACTGTGTGGCTGCTATGGTATTACCGTGAACATCTGGTTATAATGTAAGGTGTTCTGCACTCTCTGGATACCCCTAGTTGTTCTTGCTGATAGTGCTGAAATCTCCGGTGATAACTAATCGTTCTTTGTATACATATATATATATATGTATCAGGGGTGGCACATTTTCTTTACTGATGCGTTACTTTACTGAGTAAAGCAACGCTTTCAAATATCACCGTATGAGTGACGAACAACCGAAAATGTATTGTTTTATCACCTTCCGGACACAGTGCGACTAAAGCGTTACTATATTATACGTTACTAGCAACGAGTAACGCAACAACGCTTTTTGTTGCGTTACTCGTTACTAGTAACGTATAATATAGTAACGTTGTTGGTTCGGTTGTTCGTCACTCATACGGTGATATTTGAAAGCGTTGCTTTACTCAGTAAAGTAACGCATCAGTAAAGAAAATGTGCCACCCCTGAACAAGACCGAGTATGAATGAATCTTAATAACTGAAACTACAAAAATTTTCGTATTTGATCTCCAACTGGAATTAAGTATGTTTATATCGATGTCAGATTTACAGCTGTTTGAAAAATATGCACTTTAATGTTCTCCCTCCTCTTTTTTCTTTCTTTATTCAGTTATATGTGTCATGCGTAAATGTACAATTTATCAGAGAGAAATCTTGCCTCTGGATAATGGTTAGTCACCATTATTGACAATACCTACGCAAAAAAGTGGAAAGGTGTATAATTAGACCTACACGAATTGCAAACAGTTGTCTTTATTACATTTTGTCGATGATTTAATTTTATTGTCGGATTGAATTTGATTAATTCCATAAATACTGCAGCAGAGTGATTGTAGATATCTAAATAATTATATTTAGGTTCGTTATGTAACTGCTAAGCTCAATGATCGTAAGTACAGAACAGCAAAAAGGAGTATCATAGGCGCTTGACAATAGAGATGAACAGCTGGTCTAAAAAATAATAGTATTTAATCGATAGCGGTCGACAGAAAAATATAACAATATTTCTTGTTAAATATCGAGAATGATTTGACTGCTGTAATTCTATCAGAAAAAAATTAGAAGAAAATAGCAGCTGATACCATGTTTCGGATGTATTGATTAAAAATTAATCGAGATAAAAATTCGTTTGATTCTCAAGTTATCTTATAGGTACCAAAATGATTATAGTTTATTTAACGTATAGTTCTGCATCAAATTTTCCAACTAGTTTATCATAGCGTACATTTAAATTAAGTAAGTTAACAGATGAATTAATTAAGTACGCTATCATTCTATCACAGAACAAGATAGTTTGTAATCATCTGTTATTCGTAACTATTCTGTCTCTCGTGTGCTAATTTTTATCTCAAACATAATTAGATTTATTTTAAAAATTGAGAAATTCCATAACAAATCTATCATTAAAAGTTCTGCAAGAGTCCGCTCTTGAACGACAAATTGTTTTCTGGAACGCTTGGCAGCATCACCTATTTATGATTGTAGTCATGCAATAAGGGAGGTAGTGAAGAGTTACCTGGTTAATATCTGCTTTGTCAAAACAAAAGCACAGTTGTTATTCATATCATCAATTTCTAAACCGAATTCGTCTTGATAGACATTAAAAAAGACTTATTTTAAAAGATTTAAGTAATATCATTAATGTCATTGTTAATTTCGCCGTGGAAACTAAACGATTCAGTCTCGATTAGTCGATAGATTAATTAATGTTTCTGATTTGTTTGAGCGGCTGATACCCATCTCCCCGTCCAAAATATTGTCGACGAATCAGGAAAAAAATGAATGTGTCGACCAGTTGAGAATGTACCAGCTAAACAATTCGTATACTAATCTGTCTCAAATACAAAAACATCAACCTATAACATGCAGCTGACTATGACATACAAATTGCGTTTTTTTTTCTTTCTGTCATTTCTCTGCCTTCTTTTCTATTAATCTTATTATTAAAAAAAACTCTTTTATTTTTAAATGTATTTACTATTTTTTTTACTCCTTATTTTCTGAGTAAGTGACTATGTCTTCTTGATCCTTTAATTCTTATGTGGACCATATACTATGATTTATTTCGCTCATGTACCTTTAACTTTTATCTTATACTTCTTCCAACATTACTCATGAAGTTTAGAACAAGATTGTATTGACGTCTAAAGGTAATTCTAAATCATGCTTATCATTGCGCACACAGAGAGGAAGTAAAAGTTATAACATCAGTCGTCTAATAACGTACATCATTTTTTTCTAAGCTATATCAACAAAAAGTTTAGATTGAACATGTTTCCTTCGTTAAATTGTCTAAAACATATATTAAAAGAATATTTTCCGATTCATTCGTATTAATAAAATATACGTATAGTAATAGTAGTTGTCGTTTCATAAATCTTCCTTATGATTATTTGTTTAAATTAATTTTCCTTTTAGACTATTTTTGAAATGAGAATAAGTAAGTTTATTTGAACAGACAAAGCAATAATATACGTGTGTACAGAGATAACTTCCGAAAAAATTTGATTTTTATAAGCACTCGGTTGTCATGTACCTTATATAACTCTGTTAATTAAACAATAAGTACAACAAAAGAAAACAGCAATATTGACAAAAAAAAACTGTTCTTTTTTATTTTATTTCGACTTTTTTTATTGTTCATGGTTAAAATTTCTCTTTTATTTTTTTATATACAAAACTTGTTCATATATCGTACAAAGAATAAAAGGAAAGAAAAATATTTTCTACCATAAATGAGAGAGATTTAACTGTTAAGCAATGGGAAACGAGAGAAGTATGTAACCATAAAATATATTTCTGACTATAAAGAACAGAACACATAAAATATGTTTTTAGTTGTGAACGTCGCGTTTTATACTATACAACGATTTTGTTTTTTTTATATCTTTTTCAGCCGTTGTCAATAACGACTTATATACTCTCTACACTTATTAATGTGTAAATCTCGTATAGTTATATACATTGAGAAGAACCAAAAAAAAGTTTTTCTTTTTTTTTTTGTATTCCAAAGGTATATGAAATGAATGAGTTTACATTCATGATAAAAACATATAGAGAGAAAAAAAAAGAGTAAGGAAAAGGAATTAATGTTCTTCCTAGCTTTTTCTCCTTTTTGTGTGTTGCTTTGAATACTTTTTATGTTGATAATAATGTTGTTTCAGTTGTATCACTATCACCATTATTGAATACACCGAAAAAAACCTAAATATATCCACATAACACACCCATTGTCTCGCTTTGGCCTTTTTTTTCTAATTCTTCTTCTATTCTCTTGTTTTTTCTTTTTTTTTGTCATACTTTCACTCAAATAAGTAAGTTGACACAAATTACTTATATTCATCACATCATTTTTGATATTAGACTATAGTGATACGCGATTAAAAGATTCTATTTTGATTTAATAATTTAAGCATAAAATTAGTGTAAAAGGAGAACTTAAAGGTACACGAAAGATTATCTAAACATTTTGTTTTTTTGTTGCAATGAAATCAGGCTTAACATTTTTTGTATGATTATAGAAAAATTATGCTTTTACATATTTTTCTACTTTTCAGAATTCTCGAGGTGGTAACCCGGAATAAAACAAAGAACAAATCATTCAAAATACCTAGACAGGTCAGAATTTAATTAAATTAGAAAATGTTTTTGAAAAGTGCATAGTCATTCACTATTGCTATATTCAATGAACAAATTATTCTTTTATTCATAATAGTAAAAACAGTTAACGTACACACAAAGAATAAAAAAAAATGCTTATTATTAATATACCATGAAATAGATATTTTCCAAAAGTAATTCAGTTTGGACATTATTGAACAACTTGTACAAATCAAGTCTCAATTATGTTTCTGAAAGAGATCCGACTGATTCGAAAACTATAAACGAGAATAATAGCAGATTATTGATGAATGCAGAAAAGAACAGAGAAATCATATTCGAAGTATTACATTGGTTCATCATATCCTGTATATATCTTATAAAAATTCTCAAGCTCTTTAGAAATAGATCGATGATTCATTCTATGAAGTGTGAAAGAAGAATCTAGCCAAAAATCGAGTTAACGACGATGAGCGTTTGATAAATCGATTTCATTTTTAATTTAATCGAAAGATATCTCAAACAAAATAGTATTCAGTGTTTTCGACTCTTGATTTTCCTTCAGAATGGCTATTTTTTAAACTAAATTGGTTGCTATTCCACTCTAGAAAAAGTGCATTTTTAAATGAGAACATAAAACTAGGCGTTTAAAACGATATTTTTACATTTCATTTCGAAAGAAACTGTGCTCACACATAATTAATGGTTTTACTGTTCTATTTAAATTTAAGAGAGTATTTTCACTGATGCATAGTCTTTAACAGGTTAGAAAATTGTTGTTCGTTAAAAAACAAAAATAAGTGAGTACAGCACAGTGAAAAGAACATAGTGAAAGTACGATCATGCGCGCAATTTCTTACCGGAAAACTTCCAACAGTTAAAGCAATATAAAGTTTTGTTTGTTGTAAAATGTAGAATGCTAGATAACACTTTCATAGTTAATGTATGAGGAAGTAATATGAGACATGTAAAATTATGCTGAGCAGAAAGAGAAATAAAAGTATATCACACATAGCAAACAATAGAAGAGAAAATACTTTTTAAAGAACAAAAATAGCTTTATTATTTTAACAGATGACAAAGATAGGGAAGACTACATCTGGTAAGGAAAATTTCAAATAGTATTAACATATAAAGTTTCTAAGAAGGAAAGGTCCACATCTACACTTTTTGAACGTTGCAGTGTTGTTGTTGTTGTTGTTGTTGTTGCTGCTACTGCTATCAAAATTGTAAAAAACACAAAAGAAAGAACAAAACGGGCAACGGAAATAAAAGAAATAATTTTATTAAAATATTTGATCTAGAATTCAAACATTGACGTAGAAGATGGAAGAAGCACAAAACGAATTTATATAAATTTTATACCATCATATGGTAGAAGTTAAAAAATATTCTGTTCTTTCTCCTACTCTTTTTTTTATTGATTGTTTGATCATGCGTTAGTAACATACAAAACAACAACACTACCACACAGATCAAATCAGTAACAAATAAATATAAACTTTTTTTCAATCAACTCATATTTTATTTTACTATACTATAGGAATCAAATTATCCAAATCGATTAGTCGTAAGACAATGTATTGGGTTTTATTTGTCAAGTTTTGCTTAGCTAGAAACCTTTCACACTGATATCTTCATGTCACAAAAATGTTATATTATAGCTAAAGATTGTGTAGATAAGATTTTGGCATACGTTAGACGTCTTTTCTTTGTATGATATGCTCTTTACTCTAACAGCTATTACACCTTGTCCAGGGTTCCCGATCAGGGTAGAGGATGCTGGCTGTTCCCTAAAAGCATTTTTTGACTTTCTGGCAAAATTTTTGACGTTTTTCCACCAGCAACTTTCTGCCAAAACTTTCGAAAACTTTATTTCACCAGCCGCTTTCTGCGAAGCAGAATGTTTAGCCCCTCCCATCCCTAAGAACAACCGGAAACCTTGACCTTGTCAGGTAATTTCAGCGGTCTTGATCAAAGATTTTCTAAATCGCTCCGCCTAAAAATGTCTTAATGTTGCTAAAAGATTAATGAAAGTGTTTGTGTCTCCCAGAATAAGTAGATAGTTGAGTTCTTTCTTCATTAGTGCTCTAGTATTCCTCCCAATATCAAGTTAAGTGAGCACGGTGGACCTAAAACTAGAATTCGTATCACTCTCTTAAAGTACTTGGATGAATACTGTATAGTACACGTGTTCATTATAGGTTATGCATACCTATGCAGAGAGAATGCAGGAGTATATACACGACTGTTCCAGTTCAGTGAGTTCTATGACTACGTACGCTTTTCAAATAAACAACAAATATATTATGTTTCTAGACAAAAAAGCATTTTTCATTCTATAAACAAGACATACATCTCGATTGTTTATTAAGTAATATTTCTGAACTATGACTTTTACTACCATTTGTTTTCTCTCCAACGATATCCATACTTCATTCCTTGTCTTTGAGTAAATTATGATAATTCTCATACAATGTGTAGAAATAGCAATAGTTTCTATTCTTTTGAACATATTTATCAGCATACAATTTTCTACGGATACAAAAAAACGGTAATCTGATTTATATAGGATTAAGAAATCAGATGCTGTGGACCTTCGAAAGGATACGCAATTAAGTTGAAACTCAAAATCTTTTTTCTTTCTGTACAGTTAGTCACACTGAGAAGATTGATATTAACAGATAGTCTTCTAAAATTGTTTATTTATCGCTTGTTTGTATTTCTACTAAAACAGGTGTTTATAAGAATATTCTCAATCTACCGAGAAAAATAGATTAATTAGTAATCCCAATTTGGTACTGCTTGTGAAAACTTTTCATTGAATTTTAGAAGACATTTTCATATTTCTGAAATCTCTGCAAGCATGTAACCAGTCAAACACGATGGTAAAAGGAACAAATAAGAAAACATATCACCGGAACGAAAAAAATAAAGTTGGTTTTGAGTTGCTGAAAGATGCTTTTTCGTATCCAGCACCCTCGATAACCCAGAAAATTTTCTACTTTTGGCGAGGGGTACTTCCAAAAGTTTAGGAAAAATTTTCAAACTAAATGGCGCAAAAAAACTTCCATGGGAAAAATAATATTAGTTTGAAAATTTTTCCTAAACTTTTGGAAGTACCCCTCGTCAAAAGTAGAAAATTTTCTGGGTTATCGAGGGTGCTGGATACGAAAAAGCACTTTTCAGCAACTCAAAACCAACTTTATTTTTTTCGTTCCGGTGATATGTATATGCTGTCTCTGCTAAAAAATACTTTACTCTACTGTAGTTCTAAATCCCACTATTCTTACAGAAAACTTCTGCATTGTTGTTTGTTAACACACTATTTATTTTTTAGATATAATTAGTCCCATTGATTATCTCCCAAATGGGTGGAAAATTAGCTCGTAGTGATTTTCACTGGGTGTATACAGATGAGCCACATACAACCAGACGAAAAGAAATGCTTGGTAAGCCAGATTGCTCAAACTAATTATTAATAGGAAACGTATGAAATTTTTTCAGTAAAATATCCTCAAATAAAAAAATTAATGGGTCATGATTCACGTGTGGCTATACAAGTTGTCATAACAGTTCTCATACAAATTATCATAGCTATTTTGCTTCGTGATGCATCGTGGAAATTTCTGTGGCTTGCTACATACGTCATTAGTGGAACATTAAATCATTCTCTATCAATCAGTTTTCATGAAAGTAAACATGCGCTCTTTAATCTCATTGAATTATAAGCAATAACTTGATTTGTTTTACTATGTATAGTTGGTCATAACTTAGCGTTCGGTAATCACCGACCAATGGCTAATCGTATACTAGGATACATAGCAAATTTACCCTTAATGATTCCATCATCAGTCACATTTAAAAAATATCATATCGATCATCACAAGTAAATGTTTATATTTATCTATTTATATATATTAACTTGTATATTTATAATCTGTTTTAATTTAAGATTTCAAGGAGACGATACTCTTGATCCTGATTTGCCCACGTATTTTGAAGCCTGGCTGTTTCAGAGTCGAATTGGAAAAGTTTTTTACATAATGTTACAACCGGTTTTATATAGTGTTCGTCCGTTGTGTCGTGTGCCAAGTAGGTCCTAATAAATTGGGTCTGATTGGTTACTATTCTCATTTCAAATATCAATTCTTTTGTAGAACCAGTGAATTTCTTAGAATTTATGAATTTATTAATACAAGTTGCATTTGATCTGTTAATACTTTATTTTCTTGGTATAAAATCATTTATTTATCTGCTATTTGGAACAGCTCTTGGACTAGGATTACATCCGATTAGTGGTCATTTTATTTCTGGTAAGAATATAAAATTGATAATATATTTTGATACACGATTAATACATAAATACTATTTTAGAGCATTATATATTTGTGGAAGGATATGAGACATATTCTTATTATGGACCATTGAATTGGTTAACATTCAATGTTGGATATCACAATGAACATCATGATTTTCCTAATGTACCGGGTTATTTATTACCAAAGGTAAAAGTAGCTATTTATCATCTATCATTTGAAAACAGTCTATAGCAAGAATTTTTCTTTTTGATCATTATAGTTAAAAGAAATAGCACCAGATTATTATGATAATCGTCCTTGTCATTACTCATGGGTAAAAGTTCTTATTGACTTCGTGCTCGATTCAAAAATGGGTCCAAAAGCGAGAATTCGACGAACACTGAAATCAGACGCATTACATAGTACAGAAAAAACAACAGATTTAAGAAACAAATCCAAAGTGAATAAAATATTACATGAAGTGGATAGTAACAATAACAATGCTTTTCCTAATACTCAACAAACAACATCTACAAAAGGCAACAAATCATCGCATAAAAAAAAAAATGGTTATCAACAAAAAACAGTTTCATCGCCCGTTGATCTTATTGATCATTCAAAAATGAATTGAGAAGTACATCTCTCTCATATTCACCATAACCAAAGATGTCACTCTCTCTCTCTTTCTCTCTCTCTGTCTCTGTCTCTGTCTCTCACACGCACATACATATATACATTGATAGCTATAGCTTGATTTTGACTTGTTTTCAAAATATGAAGAAATCTCACTTATACGATTCAAAATAAGTGCATGCAATCTAATCGATTAATTTAGATCTTTTTTTTAAAAAAATCTTTTTTAATTCAATGTATACGAGTTAAGATTAAATACATTCGACAAACACAAATACTTTTCTTGTTGTCAGATTTTTTTATTCTTTATCTGCTACTTTCGCTTTAACAAACTTATCCAAATTTTCAGAAGATAAACCTGCATTCCTACGTATTTTAGTATATAATCGTACTTTCGTATGTTTTTCCACTATATTGTTTCATTCATATTTTTGTATTGATGTATATACATATTTCTTGTGTAGTCCACTCCTACATGTCAACACAAAAAAAGCAGATGTGTTTAAACTCAGTTAGAAATGTCAAGATGAAGGGCTATTAATGCCGTCCATATTATATTACCATACTATAGGGAAGCACTTGTTGTGCTCTTCTCTGCGATATGTTTGTCATGTACTTTATTTGATATGTGTTTCTGAGATATCTGAAGAACGATTACTAATATTTTTATATAATTTTAGTATAAATATACCTTTTTCAAGAACAACACATTTTTTTTTTTTTTGTTGTAACAAAGAATCCCGTTTATTGTGATCCGTCCATTATTGTTGTTTTTGTTTGAAAATTAATATTCCATCACACATATACTTCTTCATTTAATAATGAAGTTTTATTTTTCTGAGAACACCTCATGTGATTTGCGATATTATGTATTAAAAAGTTAAAAACACTGCAAAATCTTTAGCCCTGCCTTTTAGGAAGTGTATATTTGTATGTGCGTGTGTATGTATGTGAAGAAATATTTTCATCATGGTGTGTATAACAAATTATTTCGAGATTTTATGATTATTCGTTCACGAAAGAGATATCATAAGCTTTTAATTTACTTAAATTTTAATGTATTGTGTATCTTTTTTCGTGAATCTAATAATATTTTATTTTTTATATTTGATATGTGACAAAGAATAAGCAACAGTAAAAAGACAGAATACAAGAGTCTAAGAGAACCAAATAAGTGTTTCACTCATACGTAAAAAATCTCATACACACGATCCTTTAAAATAGTACATCTTCCAACAAACAGTTTATCTAGTATTATCATAATATGTTTATCCAGTATATGTAACTTATGATAAATATATATATAGTAATGAACTAACTAACTAACAAACAAGTACCCAACGAAATAAAAATAACAACAACATAATAAAACCAAAAAAAAAAAAAAAAAAAAAAAAAAAATATGGGAAGAGTGAGGGGGGGACATATTGGGTTTTGGTGAATTTGGGAGAGTTGTG